TGTATCTATATAAAACTCGTGTTTTACTTTCTGACTTGTTTTATCATTGTTTGTGAAGCGGTTCCTATTGAATCGCGTTTGCATCGATACAATTGAAAACTTTTAAAAAACAACATTCAGTCATAATGTCATCAGCAATACTGTTTTATTTGTTGATGTTGTCAACAATAACGGTGGCGAAGACTACGGCAGATAGAACGTACAAAATCATTGTAAAAAATAACTTTTCGAGATCGGAAGATGAAAACTTGAAAATTATTTTGAATTACATTCGAAGCAAGCAGATATTTTCTTCATCGATATTTTGTCTCGTTTCTTCCGATGATCAATCTAATGTCGTACATCTTTTATCCAAGTACATAGCGAGTGAATCTATTGTTAGCTACAAAATTACAACAAATAACTTCTCACGGAAATATACGTGGCAGAGTCGCGTTGATCTTACATGGATATTCATCATTGATAATATGAATATTTTGAATTCTTTTATACATGAACAAAGCCATATCTGGAAGGCTGTCAATCAATATTTAATAATTGTCACCACTACAAACACGATTTCGCCGCGAGAGATTTTTCAGACAGTTTGGAAGCTCTACGGTGTCTATAGGATCGTCATTATTTTGATAGAAGACGACTTTCGATGTCTAAGAAGATATCTACCGTTCGAAAAGAATCGACAAAACAAATATGGCGTCATACGTAAGATTTGTTTAATGGACCAGGAAGATAATGTTGAGCTCTATACCAACTTTGAAAACTTGAACGGATATCCTATACACGTGGTTATGTTTTCACCTTTAAAAGTTACATTCGACAATGATACGAATCGTTCGGATAAAAGTGAAAATTTCGACAAACTGGACATGAAAGCGAAGTTGTTGTTGGAGCAAACAATGGGAACTGAGTTTCGTATCATTGAGCTTCCTCATTTGGTCAACTCATATGATCCATTTCTTCGTGCTCTTCAATACATTGAGGATGGTGAATCGGAGATAATCATTATTAATTTCCTTGTTCACGAATATAAAGAATATCGAAAGTACGAATTCATAGCTAGCCTTTATGAGGACAAGGTATGCTTGATCACACTCACAGCTGGTTTCGTGCCGAAATCATATATGCCAATAATGTCATTTGCGTCTAATCTGTGGGTGGCTCTCGCGATATACAATATTCTCGTGTCCGTTCTATGGTTCCTCATAAAATACTGCAGCGTTTCGTTTCGTCGACGAAAGGCCGTTCTCCTTCCCTTGACAAGAACGACAGGATACATTCTTTCACAGCGATCGGATTTGCCACTGAGAATACATCCTTATGTTTCGTCATGCTTCGACCTCATCGAAACCTCGTGTTATCCGTTGAAGGAGGCCAGTGGTAGCGCCGGTAGTACGACCGCTCAAAGAGCCTTTTTGATCGGCACGCTTTTCTTCGGACTCATCGTCACCAGTCTCTATCAAAGTTGTCTCATGTTTAGCTTGAGCAATCCCTTTCATTATCCTGAATTAAATACTTTGGAAGATGTTGCTTACTCGAATTTTACTATCATTACCAAGTATAACAACTTCAAGGAGAATACGTTTTTGGGGAATACCACTCTGGATAACAAATTGCGGAGTAAAGTTGAATTGTTAATTTCTAAAAAGCCTACCTTCGACTCCGTAATCTTTGATAAGAAAATCGGCATCATCCGTCTCTCGTTGGTCAACTTGGAAAACAAGTCTAGATATTACGATGTAGACGGCAACGATCTACTCCATATAGTCGAAGAATGTCCGAGCACTTCCACATTGTCTTACATAATAAGGCTTCACTCACCTTATCGAGACAGAATCAACGGATTATTGCTACGAATGCAACAAATGGGTTTTGTTCATTTGTGGTATGAGCAAGTGACTTATCCGCTGTATGTGGCTAAGCAGAAAAGAAAGATAGACAAGAGCGAGAGAAAGATTAAACTGACCATGGAGCATTACTCTCTTACTTTCATCGGGCTTATGATTAGTTTACTTTCTTGCATCCTGGTGTTTCTCGCGGAAATTTATTTCGCCAAGAGGTCATCATACAAGTCACTGTTTCTTCAGTAAATCATCGTTATATTATATATATAGTTATATTATATATATATAGTTCATGTTGGTACGCGAAGGCTGCGTTCAGCAGAAAAAGCAGCTTTGCAACTGTTGTAAGATTCTTAAATATGATTAGTTTATACATTTAAATTCAATGAGAAACTAAGACTAATATTAAAGAATTTTACAACAGTTGTAAAGCTGCTTTTTCTACTGAATAGGGTAAAGACTGTTTACTTTCAATTGACTTATGTCTATGAGGCTTTTCATTAGTGATTATTTAAAGTTACAATTTCAAATTTTTATTTTAATTACAGAAAACTTTGTATTTGATAAATTGGCTCGCATACACACACATACACACACACACACATACATTTATATATTCTTGCATGACAGTGCCAGATTGGATCGCGATAGTTCGATCAACAGCTGTTTCATTCACAACGCTCTCGAGCATAAAATATGCTATCAGCTATGTTGTCTGTCGATTATCCAAAAAAAGTTCTCTTTTCGCGATATAATTGTTGAAGTAATGATGTCGCGTTAACGAGTGGACGCTAAAGTAATATTCTAAAGAGAAACCAAGTTTATTTTAAGAATCTACGAAAATACACACGAGTCTACGTATCTCTCTCTCTTTCTCTCTCTCTCTCTCTCTCTCTCTCTCTCTCTCTCTCTCTCTCTTGAAGAAGAAGAAGAAGAAGAGAAAGATGAAGAAATTCAGTCGTGGGTCGTTGCTCGATTATAGAATCATGTCTCTTAAAAGATGTGCATTATTGCCAGCGATTGTAATCACTATTTGTTTAGGTATGTACGCAAGTATCCCAATCTATATTATAATTGCAAGATGTAAATATATATGTATATTTATATATGTATGTAATACTCTTTCATAGATGTATCTTCTATCGTTGCTACTGCCACTGCTGTTATGTGGAATCCGAAAACATCTAGGTAATTATTATTATTAT